GGATTATATGTGAAAACCCGAAAAAAAAAATACATGTGATGTATGTATTTATTGAGTCTGGATATCCTAATTAAAAACCAATACTTTATGTTAAGTTATACATTAACGAATGAAAATTTGTCAAAATACCTGAGGTGGTTTTGATTAATTACAATCTCAAAAATGAGATATTCCAATATCATAACATCTGAGGGTAAATATATATTGGGCATTTAAACTTTCGAGGATTGCACCATACTACGTACTGTTACTCACTTCAAAAGATATAGACTCTATATTGATGCATTTAATTTAAGTTTTTAATTCAAATAAAAGATTCATTCTTTAAAACTTTCAAGTGGTGTAGCCGTGTAGGTTCCATTCTTTTAGAATTTAGATGAAATAGGTTGGTTAATTATAAATTAAATCTGATTTAATTTTTAAATGAAAAAACTCAAATTAAATATATGATATAAATACTAAATCTTAACATAAAATAAAAATGATATATAGATGTAATTGCCTGTACTTAGTACGGGGTTGCATTTCTTTAGTAAAAAACAAAAACAAAAAACCAACCTGGACGGTGAAGCAAGGTCAAACTCTCAAAAATAAGCTTGGGCTGTCGTTGCTTCGTTAGGATGGATGTAGACACGTGTTCGCTCAGCAATCAACCTATCCTCCAATATCGTTGTATGTCTGACCTATAGTAACATTTAGGTTGAACTTTAGAGAATATTGTACATTTTGGTGTAACCTCTCTGTGTATATATATATATATATATATATATATATATGATACATTTTGGTGGGGAAAACAGGTATAGATATGGTCAAGGATCGGTTCAAGGAATTTTTTTGAAGCTGTGTTTGGATACAATGCAAATAAGTTTATACTGTAGAGCAATCCAACACATCTTTAGGGTGCCTAAAGTAGATTAATTTTGAGTTTAGAATACTGTTTGTTTCGCGTCAACTAATCGAATGACACGTGCAAATACATTTTTTAGAACAGAAGAGAGAGAGAAGTGAGTTTTGTGCCGATAAATATGGTGGTCTGTACGTGAAGCTAAGTGACTATTAGGGGTGGATTGGAGTCGAGCCGAGCAAAATAGTTAGCTATTTGAGCTCGGCTCGCCAAGGTTCTACTCGAGCTAGTAGAACCTTGAGTTTAAGTTCGGCTCGAGTCAAAAGCTCGTAAGCTCGAGCTCCTTGATTTGAGAAAAATGTTTTATAAAAATAAAAAAAAAATTATATAAAAAGTATTTTTATTTGGTATTTAAAAAATTAAGAATTATAATAATTATTTATTATTATATATAAAAATAAAAATATTATAAATATAATAATTTTATTATATAGATATATATATATTATTTTCTATAATTTTCTATTATTATTATTATTATGTAACTATTTGAGCCGACTCGTTCGATTGAAACCGAGTTGGGCTCGAACTTGGCTCAAAGCTCGATTGAAACCGAGCCGAGCCGAGCTTTTCACTAGCTGAGCTTGAGTAGCTCGTGAAGAGTTCGGCTCATGGCCACCCCTAGGGAGTGCCTACCACACTAACACTAATGTTGATTAGTTTGGAAAGAATACAAATGCAAATATATACAATACGAATACATATAAAATAATATAAAATATAAGATTTTGTATTCTACATATTTACATTTATACTCCTTCCAAACTGAGCCTAAGGCTGTGTTTGGAAAAGATGTAAATGGAGTATAAATCCCAGTTTTGGCAACACTACATTTATACATCGACAAATGATAGATCAATGCATATTTATATTGATAAAAAGATATGAAAATACATCAATAAAAAATAAGTAAATTTATATTCAAGTGGGTTTTAGATAAAAAAAAATATATATATACTTTATTGAAATTCATTTCTGCATCCATTATAACCAAAAGTCTATTTGATAAAAAAGTAAATTTGTCAGTTCAAAACTAATCTAATTTTATAATTTTTATGACCCTTTTTACACTCTACATATTTGCATTCACACTTATTTGTATGGTTTTCAAACGCAGCCTAAGAAGTAAGGAGACAGCTTCTATGGTGCGCAAAGGTATGATATCCGAAAAACTTTTAACGGTGGTTTTGAAAATGAATACGAATTGGGCCTAGCCAGCTGGAAACGTTGGGTGGAGGAATCCAGAGTACACAGGTTCCAACGTGTTGGAGTGCGGTTCAGAGTGGATTATCGATCATAGGGCCGACCCAAACATAAGAACGGGCCCATATATAGCTGCTAATGTATGGAATTAGCAAAGGAAATCATGATGGCAGAGAGTGAGGACCTACAAATCGGATGCGCTGCACAGCACAGCCATATTCCAGCCCAGCTGGAATGCTCTATCATCACCGTCTTCCGTATCCAACGCTTTAGAACTAGAGTGGCAGTGGTCTCTGGTGTGCCGTGGAAATCTGTGGTGGTGTTCTGGAGGCAGTCTAGTAGTGCTGAAACCTAGGCTACAACCGGTTTGGATTTGAAAGAGCTCAGGATCCAAGCGAAGAAGAATCGTGCATCTGTGTACAGCTTGTCATGTCTAATCAGTGATAGAGGAGACGTCGGCATCAACCGTTACGGACTCGAGACTCACTCCCTAATCCCTACATATAACAAGGAGTGGCTCGGTGTCTCTGTGTGTCTCTCGGGGTCGGGGTGGGTGGGTCAGGGTGACTGAGTGGAATGGATAGATGTGTAGGAAGTCTCGTAGGGGGGTGTAGGGGGAGGGGAGGGGTTATTTCGGAGGACACTCTGGAGTGGAGTCTGGACGACAAATGACGAGGTGATAATAATCACGTCATCACGTGTTGTATGAGTTGAGGTCCCGAAAATGGTTAAAAAGGTAAAAGGTAAGATGGTCAAGACACAGTTTTACCGCTTTCCCTGTAAACTGTTAGACGACGAGAAGCCAGAATCTTTTGGAGAGAGAAACAGAGAGAGAGAGAGAGAGACCCGCAGAGCAGAAGAATTGAAAGATTGCGAGAGTTGGGAAAACTGTCACCACAACAAACTAAACACGAGGACGGAGAGAGAGGGCCACTTTCTTTCTTCGCTTCATCGTCATCGTCTGACTCTATTTCTTTCTCTCCACAAGAATCTTTGCAGCTTTTTTTCTCTTCCTTTTGTTTGTTTTCTTTTTCTTAGGATATGGGGTTCCCCATTATTGCCATACTCAGAGACTCTCAGAATCATTTTTTCTGGGTTGGAGTTCACCTCGTAGACCAAAGGGTACGTGTTTTAACTATCATACGCTCAACTCCAACCTGAAGCCTCATGACCCACTTTTGATTCTCTTTTCTGTTTCTATGCATACAAAGTTGATTCATATACATTCATACTCCAACAGGGATCTCTCTCTTTGATCATAAATCAAGTTGCTGTAGTTCTGACTCCATTTTTAATTATTGGTGGGGCCACCCTTGTTATTTGAATAGCGACTACAACTACAACAACTCCCCCCACCCCCACTCGATTATCATCGTCGTCGTTACGGTCGTTGTCAAATTGATGATTAGACATGTTTGACAGTTTAGAATTAAAGTAAAGGTTAACGTCACACCTCACACCAACACCACAGTCCTCCTTTACTCTTAGTCCTCTCACTTCTCACAGCTTCAAACTTCAAACGGGTCCTCTCCTCCTCCATTGAAATTTTTCCTTACCAACAACTTTTTTTACAAAGGACACTTTGTGTTGTCCTCCAGTAGATTCCGGGTCGGTGACCCGGGTACAAAGTATATTGGTGCGCTGGAGGAGGCAATGTTTCACTTTCACCCAAGTCACCGAAAATACAGAGATCTATTAGAGAGAGAGAGAGAAAGAGAGTGTGTACAATCTGAAATTCACAATGAAGAGGAGAGAGAGAGAGATGAGGGGGGACCTAAATCCAACAGCGACATGTTATAAGGTATAAGGGAATATTGCAGAGATTATTTGTTTGTGGGGGAGGAGCTAAAAAGGTCGGACGGGGGGGGTTGGGTCAGGTCAGAGTCAGGAGTCAGGAGTCAGGAGTCAGGACTAATGAAGAGGGGGAGGGGGGCAGGGGGCAGCATGAACCCACTAGAATTTAGAAAGGTCAACCTACCCGTTGCTGCCCGTCGTCCGCATGTTTAATGAATTTTTATTTTCTATATATTTATTTATTATGATTATTAATAATTAATTATTGGTGATAACTGATAATAATTACAAGGAATTGAAACACAGAGGCCAAGGACGCCTCCTTTGACTGTATCATGGGAGACTGTGAGACCTTAACCCTCACTCCACAGCCCCACCCGCCCGCGTGCCCACACTCTTCCATTCCCTATGATTCCCTCCAATTCCCACATATTATTAACTATTTCTTTTCTAATCAAATCAATACCATCACAAATTCAAATAAACAATGGATCAAGTGTCACTTATTATTATTATCACTAACTACAACACACTACACAAAGTACAATTATATTTATTTATTTTTTAGTTTTTCTTTCTTTGTTTCAAGTTTCAATGGAGTTGCCTGTTGATTAGGTTGATCGATGCCTGTGACTGAGTGATTTACTTGTAAGTAAAAATTTTTAGTAAGGGTAATTTGGGTATTTAAAATTTAGGAAGTGTTATTACTAATTATTTTGTTTTCAAAGGAAAGAGTTAAGAGGCCAGATCTTCATTCTTCATCGTCATCATCACGCACGTGTCTACATATATATAAGTGAAGCATGTGGAAAACATACATGTAAAAGTAATAAGTAATTAAGTATAACCGACCCAACCATTACAGCACGTGCGAGTTAGAGAAGCACACGAGTTCACTGACTGGAGTATGGAGATAATCAGAAGAAGTCGTCCGTAAAAGTAAAAGAAAGTAAGAAACTTAAGACGGACAAAAAATAAATAAAAAAAAAAAACAAAATAATAATTGAGAAAAAGAAGGGTAAACACGGTATGGATTTTTACGGTCACCGTCAGGTCCACCCGGGCTGCCCCCAACCTCTCTCCTTCATAAGCCCAGTTTGCTCTTCACTTTCTTCCCGCACATCTCTCTCTCTCTCTCTCTCTCTCTCAAGTCTGGGAGAGGAGCTAGCCTTCAGACAAGGAAGAAAAGGAGAGGTTTTTACACGGTAAGATGGCTAAGGTCAATAGCTTTGTTTTATGCAGTTTTAATTAAATAGGTCCGATGCGTAGTAGTGCTTTTGTTTCTCTCTTTACGTGACTACAGTCGGTGCACAGTTTAAATGCAGAAACCATAGATTTTCTTTTTTGTTTCTGAAGATGTTTGCTTTTAAGACTAATTTAAGATTTCCTTCCGTGTTTTTGTTAGATCTGGCAGGTTTTGGTTTCTACATCCCGCAATGAGAGAAAAAGGGTTAGTTAAACATCCCTTCTCCATATTCATTTGGAATGAAAAAGAAAAAGAAAAAACAGCTTTTGTTTCTTCTAAAGCTTACACTCTGAATCCATTACCAGTTTCGACACTGGAAGAATTGGATTCTTCAGGAGATGAGGAGGAGATCTTCTTAGGGTTGTTCTGCCTTGACAAGGGTAGCTTTTCTATAAGAATGGGATGTTCGTTTTAATTAGGTGCTATCCTAACTGAGCTTTTTTTTTCATCAAACCTTTTCTCACCAACCATCAACATTTGTTTCTTTGTTCCTATAGTCTTCTTGACCTTGTAAGACCTTTTCTTGACCTTGTAAGGCCCCACGTCAGGGTTGCTTATCTTTGTTTTTCATTTAGTTTCAGATCCCCTATCAGATGCCATGGATATGGTGTCTTACGTTTATGGTTCCCTGTTTCCGCCCAACTCATCTTCCTTTTCTCCGTCTATCCCTCCTGAGCTATTTGAACCAGACAGACTCTATCCAACCCCCATTCATATCAGTGCTTCTGCTTTCCTTCTGAGCACATGAATTATATTATCATATATTGTTTGAAGACTCTCATCAAGAGTCCGTTTGGGGAGCCTGGAGTCTACATCTTATGAACATTCTTCCATGTAAAGCTTCAAGGAAACAAATAAAATGGCGAAAGTGACTCATTGGAGAAGCGTTCAGAGATTAGTACCCAAGCAATTAGAAAGTGTTTGTTTTACTTTTCCATTGCTGTAAAGGGCTTTGGATTTTCTTTGTATTATGTGTTCAGAAATATGCTGTGGCAGGCATCAGTTTCGTTGTTTTATATGTTGTTGGCTGATGAGTGAATAGATGATAAATATTCTCGCAGATCTCTGAGGAGTCTCCTCGTGACTGTTCCAATGTACAATTACAATGTCTCCACTGTATCATTGGACTTCTCTTTCTCTCTCTCTCATTCTGTTATTCTTAGTATTAACAATATTTCCTTTTTTTTCATTAATTTTATTTTCTTATCTTATCTTTTCAATGGGTCATTCACATCACATTTATGGCTGGTAATGATCATATTTTTAATAAGTATGGATCTTTGGTTGTACAGAAAGCCTTCTACTTCTTGCTGGTGCAGAACTAATCTTTAACTTTAATTTCCTGCAGTCCTTGATCTCAGTATTTCTTCCCTTCTTTCTTTATAAGTTTCGTTTTCTCTTTTAATGCAAGTTAATTGGGACTACTGGACAATGGACAGTATTATGTCATTGAGTACATAGTAAACAGTAAGAAACTCCATTCTATTAAATGGTGGATAAGAAATTAATTGTTACCATTTAAATTTTTTATAAAAAAAAAAGAAATACTTACAAACCCCAATTAATTAAAATTCGAAGAAAGCACAAGGGAGTTAAAGAAACGTAGGATTTCTTTTTCTACAAACCAAAAGCTGATTAACACTTAACAACGTTCATCAAGATAGGGTGTTCTCTTGTATTCTTTTTTTTTGTGAAGGTGGTGAGAGGAGTAGTGGAGGAACAACAGAATCATGCTCCACTGTGTCTTATTTTGCTCTTCTTGAGTACATCTTCAATTAATTAATCGATTTAAACTAGATGATCAAGACATATGAAGGACGACTCAATGAACAAACTGAGATGGGTATCATCAATTCAACTTATGTGTATATATATATATATATAGGAACGATCACATTACTTAGACCCTTTTTCTGATCAGTGTTCTAATTAATTTGGCCAGAATATTGCTATTACTGGGTTCCACTTCCACACTCAAACAATATCGATGAGTTCAACTTGAACCTTTCGACCTTGAGTTAGTCACCATCAACACTCAAGAGTAGTAGTGGTGTTAGCATGTTTAGGTAATTGACAAAGCGTAGCGAGGGTGTTTCTATAATTGCACAATCCTTTTTAAGTTGCAGAAGCACCTTTACCTCGAGATGTACTAGCTAGACAAACACTGAGTCCTTAAGGCTGGCATTTCTCGGAGTGAATTGAAGAATTTCTTTTGTATATTAATAACGTAACCATGCATATAGCCATAACGATGTATACGGCTTTTAAACTTCCAACGCTAGAGAGAATAATTTATAGAAATTATATATGCAACAAAGAGACAGCTTCTTTTAAAATCTCTCTCTTTCTCACACACGCAGTGATTGATATATGTTCATTAAGTTTGTGTTATGTTTTAGAAACTAGCTAGCAAGGCACGATTCACTTAAACTAATTAAACTTTAATTCGGTGTTAATTTGATTGATTATCAACCTTTTTACAGGAAAGATTAATTCTAGGGTGCAAAACGTTTTTTGATAGATAGATACTATCTATCAAAAAACGAAAGAGTAAAAAAAAGTGATGAATATGCTAAACACTCCATGGAATTACCAACCCTTGTATCATCGTCTCTGAGTCTGCCAAAAACAAATAGAACCAGACACAGTTAATTTGAGTGCTCTATGCTTAGGGCCTTGTTGGCGCAGTACCTCTCTTTACAACTCTTCCTTCCACTAGTCTTTAACAAATTAATAGTCAGATATACAAGAGCAAGTCAAAAATGACTTTGATTTGTTTATTATATATAATATAAATTGAAATAACAATCTTGGATGAAATATATATTTCGTCTTTTTTTTATAATTTTCCACATTTTATATAGGACCCCCTCTACCATGGGTCAGCAACAAAGACTTACTGTATTTTAGTATTTTAGTATGTGTTTGGTTCCGCCGGTGTTTATGGATAGGTCGTTTTACTCTTTCACTTTAAACATTTATTTATACTTTTTTACTTTAAACATTCTTTATTTTAAACTTTCCTATTTTTGTTGTTTGGTTTAGCTTTACTTTAAACGTTTTTCACTTTAAATGGAAGTTAGAAGACTTGTCAGCTAAGGCGTGTCTATAACACTGTCCTTAAGCAAAATTTTGCCTCCTTTGAATTATGTCCGGTGCAATCTCTCAACTCAGAAATGAAATGTAGAATGCAAAGAATGAGTGAATGTAGAGAGTGAAAGGTGCAAGGGTATAAATAGTTTTCCTAATGCAAGAGAGAGAGGTGGTGATTCTTCTAAGAGATGCCATTAAAGGTCAAACAAAAGAGGTGCGAATTCAAACGAAAAGACAACTTGTTTAAAAAGAAAATGAAGAGTGATTTGTTTGAATTCGAAAATGAAAACAATTTAAAATAAAAAGATCACAACAGTTCAAGTTAAAAAAATGCAATTCGAATTAAAAAAATTGCAGTCATAAAAAGTAGGTGGGTAACCCACACCCATGCCCATGCCCATGCCCCAACTCAGCTCAGGGAGTGCATGTGAAAGAGAGTTCTTGACCACCCACCAAGCCATGAGAAACCATATGTATATGCACCCCATTTGGGTCCCCATAAGGCTTAGTTTGGAAGGAGTAGAAATGCAAATATGTAGAGCGCAAAATCTTGGATTTTGTATTATTTTGTATATATTTGCACTGTACATATTTGTATTTGTATTCCTTCCAAACTAAGCGTAAGGGAAAGGTCATCTCCTAAAAATAAACTCAACACTTCCTTGTAATTATGCCATGTGGGATTCAAGCAAACTAGGAGATGAAAAGTTGGACTCAAGAGTGGGGGGAAATAAAAGTTTGAATTTTTAGAAAAAGTCAAAAGCTTATGTGAGCATGTGACATGTGTGACTGTGTGCAATTACAAGCAAATGGCAAAACAAGTGAAAAAGACAAATCTAACTCTCTAAACTTTTGAATCACATACCTAAGACTACAACAATGGGAATTGGAATTAGTAGGAATGGGAAATTCTCAAGAGAGGGGTAGAGATAGAGGTGTCAATTGGACTGGATTTGGTCCAATGTGAGTCCATGGACAAATGGACTGGACCCAATCCAGTCCAAATACAATACAAACCAAATATAATCCAATCCATTAAAATGTAAATGGACTGGATTTAATCAAATCCAAACCGAATGAAATATAAAAAATTATATAAAAAACATAACATATAAAAATTACAAAAATATATTAAAATGAAGAAAATATGAAAATTACAAAAAGACACCCTTTTGGCCTTGAAAAAGCACTTTTGTAAAAGTGCTTCTATGAAAGTACTTTGTGGAAGTGCTTTCATAAAAGTACTATTATAAAAGTACTTTTATGAAAGCACTTCTATATAAGTGCTTTTTATAAAAGTACTTCCGCATAAGTGCTTTTGTAAAAGTACTTTTGTAGAAGTGCTTTTGTAAAAGTTAGTAAAAATGTTTTTTGTAAAAATGCTTTGTAAAAGTACTTTTATAAAAGTACTTTTGTAGAAGTGCTTTTATAAAAGTACTTTCATAGAAGTGCTTTTATAAAAGTACATCCATAAAAGTGCTTTTATAAAAGTGATTTTATGTTGTCTTCAATTTTGGTCGGTTTCAAATTAGACAAGGGTTTGACCTAATGATCGAATTATTGGAAATTTGGTTTAGGTCCAATTCAGACCAATAAGAATATGGACCAATTTATTTTGGATTGGCCCAATCCAATAATTATAATAGACTATTCAAATCCAATTTGATAAGGTTTGGATCAGATTGGATCCAATCCAAAATTGGACAATTGACACCCCGGGCAGGGAATGGCCATTCCTTCAAACAAGGGAATGCCATTCCAGCAGGAATGGGAATGGGATTCCGATTCCACCCAATCAAAATGACCCATTCCAATTCTGATTTCAGACCCTATTCCAGTGGACCAAACGAGGCCTAATTATAAATTTTTAGAGAGAGAAACCAAAACGGTTTTGCATGTTATATATGGCATCGATGTTTATATATATATTAAAGTAATGAAGTTAGGCCAAAGTCCCCTAGTCAGACATGTGGCTCTCCTCCATTAAGACATCTGTACATAAAAGAATAGTTTATTCAGTTCCCACTTAGAGACGTGGCCATACAATACATGAGCTAGGAGAGAGTTTGTAATTCACGTACCTATTTTTTAGCAAACCAAAACCTCACATTCATTTCAGTTTGAAGGCCACCAATCTAAATTGTAGGAAGAGGAGAGCTTAATGGGTAACTAGGCCAGCTTTCAATCCTCATTCAAACCTAAATGTATGGAGTTTAATAAGGCTGAAACTGAAATCCTCATTCGAATCTAAATGTATAGAGCTCAATCTGCCTGAAACTACAATTTTAGAGAAAACAGACATTCAATCCGGTTATTCAAACTTCATATTCAGAGAACTAAGCCCTTTCAATCTGGTTAGTCTATTTACATTTCGTTAAACCTTTGTTTCGGGTATGAATCTTTGTTTTCGTTTCATTATCTATTTCCAATCTCTGTTTTCAATATCTGTGGTCTTTAATGCAATATAGCAGTCTTTAATAATGTGCTAATGTTATATTTTTAAGCTAATATATTGTTGAAATGGGTGGTAAAGCACCCATATTTTTATTGGCGAAGTCTACCGTTTTGGTCGCTCTTACAGCGACTGAAAATTTTTCACATATATTTAGATTATTTAGATTAGTTTTATTTCATTTTTTAGTTTTCCATTTAAATCATCTGTACTTATGTTATATTTTAAACTTGATATGTTGTTGAAATGGATGGTAAAGCACCCATTTTTTGGTTGCCGAAGCCTACTGTTTTGGTCGCTCTAACAGTGACTGAAATTTTTTCATTTATATTTAGATTATAGTTTTGTTTCATTTTTTAGTTTTCCATTTAAATAATTTGTAATTATCTTATCTTTTAAACCTCTTATGTTGTTGAAAAGGGTGGTAATTCACCCATTTTTTGGCTGCCGAAGCCTACTTTTTTCCTGGCTCTAATGACTGAACAAAATGAAGTTCGGGTAAAGAAGATGAATAATATGGGTTGTCGGGTCGGGTCTATGTTCGACCCGTTTTATACCTGATGCACATTATGAGGGTTCTCGGGTTGTTGGGTCCGGTTCAAGGGCAGTTCACATTATTATTACATACCTTAATACTTCATTAATTTATTAATGAATTATTAATAAATACTATTATTTATATTTTAAAATACAAATAATTAATAACGATTTAAATTCGAACTATTAATAATGATGCTTAGTGATAATAATGATACTCATTAATTCGGACTATTCAAATTCCCAAGAGATAATTAATAACGATTATTTACTTACTAATAATTAATTCCCAACAACGATAATTAATTACTGATAATAATTAATAAAAAAATTACTTACTGCTAATTAATTAGTGATAATTATTATACTTATTTATTCGGACTGATAATTAATAATGATATATACACTACAAGAAAAAAGATTTTTAGCCACAATTTTTCCCGCAATGGGCATAAAACCGTGGCTAAATTATCATATATAGCAACGGAATATATCATCCGTGCCACGGTTTCATACCCCGTGGCTTAATTATAATTTATTAAGACGGTTATAAAACTAACCGTTGCAATACATCATCCCTAGAAATGGAACCATAGCTATTATATTGCGCAGTATTTTCTAAAATTTTGGCCACTTAGAAACTAAGTGAAAAAACAAATTGCCCACGCGTGCCTTACTTCTCCCGCGTCTCTCTTGGCTCTCCTCTTCATACTTTTGGTCTTCCATTCTATCTCTATCTCTCTTTTGTTCACCGACTCTTTCCTGTTTCTTCTTTGGTGTGCTGTCATGCTCTAAAATATTGGTTGTTCGTTGTTCAAGGATTTGTAGGATACAGGGCTCTATTGTCATCTGGGTTGGGAGGAGTGGGATCAGAATAGGTCGATCTTCATCCTTGTGGATTTTTATACCGGTAAGAATTTTTTGTTGATAAAACAAATTTGATGGACCTTGATTTGGGTTGGGAGATCAGTAATCGATGAGAGGGGTGCATATTGAAGATGGTTGAAAATCTGTAACAGCAAGAACAGACCACTGATCCATCTCTCTACAAGTCGAAAGCAACAAAACCTAGGGCTTAAGATCGTCCCTATTCTTTCCATTAATCTATTTCTCTGCAATTTTTTTCAATGCCACCATCACCTCACAAGTTCATTTAGTTGATTAGGGTTTGATTATGCTTTGTAGTTTTGTTATTGTTTTTTGTGATGGATTCATTCCTAGGGGTTTTGGTTTTTGTTTTCTGGATGCATAATAGCAATCCACTAACATTTGTTAAGTCGATTTGCTTAGCAACTATAGGATCCTGGTATAATCACCACTAGAATTTCAATGTTTAGAGGCAGATGACCTTCGACTTCCACACCAACAAGAAGATGTTAGAGGAGGTCGCCATTATTCCTTCGAAGCGCCTGCCCAACAAGATCATCGGATTTTGTACCCACCTCATGAAGTGAATCCAGAGAGGCCCTGTTCATAGAATATCTTTGAAGCTTCAAGAAGAATAGCATAAGCGGCGTATGGACTTTGTGCCAGGGGAATCTCCCATTAAGACATGTCATCGAGATGGACAAGGAGACGATCAACATGCTCGTTGCCCTCGGAATGGCTGACCTACCCAGCATTGTCAATCAGGCTAAATCGTTGCCCTCGGAATCGTTGCCCTCGGTGCTGCTAGTGGGGCTGCACGGGGAAAACATTAGTGAGTTTAAATTTAACTATTTCAGACTTGAAAAGTGGGTGGAAACTAAAACCCTCCATACTCGTTACTTTGCAGGCACGCAAGGCTAAGCATTCTCCCTAGTCAACAAGCGGTGGATGAGAAATTGTCCACATCAGATGGAAGCATCAGAGGACACAAGACATAGTGCTAAGCTGAAGTTATTTTTTGAGAAGTATCCAAAATCCCAAAAGTCCTCATTGCAATAAATGTCAAAATTTAGTAGTTATCATTTCGTTGTTTCATTTTTTGGTGGCTGGGGTGGTTGGCTCTTTGAAATATAATTGCATTTGGATTTAATAGAAGTGGAAAATTAGTCCTAAAAAGGATTTAAATGCTGAAACTGCCAAGCTATATGTATACGATTCTATAGGAATAAACCAAACTTATTTTGATCATTTCTTTTGTAGAAAGATAGCATGTATAGGTTGACTGTTGAAACTACATGGTTGTGGAATTGATGAGAGATAAATGTGATCTTAGTAAGAGTGATTGTAAAATGACCATAAGGGTCATTGCTTGGTGTAATTGTAAAATCTTGGGTTGACAAGAGTGACAGTGCAGGTTCAGGTTTTGAGAGTGGAGTTCACCTTTCCTACTGATTCAGCTCCTTTCAGCAGCTACCATGCTTCTACAATTGTTGAGGTGATAAACAATTTTGTTTGATTTTTATGTATTTTATTTGTTTAGGTTGCAAGAGATCACTTTTTGGTTGCTTACTTTGGTGGTTCTGCAGAGGGAGCCCTTGTTATGAAAATTTAGCTACAGACTTACAAGGTTAACTAGAATCGCAGATCCTTCCTAAATTCATTATTTTCCTCATTCATTCTGATCTTTTTTTAATGAACTTTTGGACAGTGCAGTTGATGGTAACTCTGTTACAGATTTAACATATTGACTTATTTTGTACAGGACGGCTGTTGGTACCCTCCTATTGTAGCTGATGAAGAACCCAATGTTTCAATGTGGAATCCGGTACTGTTTAAATTTCCATCTTAGGAGTTGCTTTTGTTCTACAAAATTGGTCAAGAGGTACAAAAGTGAGATATCCACCCTTCACTGTATGCTTTGATTTCTAACTCCTTTTTAATTCCTTTCTTTATTCTTTATTAGGGCATCTAGTCATCTGGCTGATCTGTTTTTGAAAACGGTTTAGTCCTATTGTCTCACAGCACAATTTTTATGACAGTATTTCAAGGAATTCTGAAAATATCTGATTTAATTGATGCAAACATAATTCTCTTGGCATTCAAAGTTAGATTGGAGTTCAAAATAACCCTTTTTCACAGCACAGAAGCTAAGAAAATTTAAAAATGTTGTTCAATAAACCTGCAGATGATGATTACGAAAATGCCCCATAAAGCTGCCTCAATCAATCATGGTGCTTCATCACCATTTTTGCTGCTGAAGCTTTAGTAGCAGATTTGTACTCCTAAAGGGAAATTACACCCATGATAGTCCCAGCCACCTGGGGTAATGGGAGGGGTAGACTGGATATGGACCTAACCTTTGGCCATTTTTTTTTTGTGTGTGTTCAAGGCCCCTCTCGGACTTGAACATCTGTTCTCATGCTTGTCAACCTAGGAATTTACTATTGCACCAAGAAATGGCCCCTTAAGGCACTTCTATGATTGAATCATACTCACAGTTAGCTCATATCTTTTCATGTTCGAAGTTTATGGTTGTTTGTTCCTCGTTGTGTATTCATGATCTTGTTTAAATAAATCTGGCACCAGTTAGGTGGATCAGTATCAGGTTCAACCTTCTAGGGTTTGGTGGGTTCAAAATTTGTGTCTTGTTAACTTGTGGTGGTGTAGGTTCAGGTGGAGGTAGTGAAGGGTCAGGTCAGGGTGGGTAGAGGAAAACCCATGCTGAATCCAACCTATTGGCATCCCCAATTATGAGTGAGATGCATGGTCCATTTGGTTCGCAGTTGAAATCAGAATCAGAATTAGAATCAAAATCAAAATGGTCTATTCCCTCCACCTGTTTGCTTCAAACTAGAATCATTTAGGGTTGTCTGACCCCAACTCAACTCAAATGGACTTACAGCTAACTATTTGGGGTTGGTTACACGATTCCTTTTCAGTCATTCTGATATACATATATTTCTAGTGCCCAAACTCTGATAACTCCAGAATGCTCAGAAAGCAAATAATAGAAGAACATGAACAAGGTCTTGAACTTGAGAGGAAACTCTTAGAATTGCAGTTAGCACCTAAAGCATTAACCCATCAGCCTTATTTTGGTTACATGGATGACTCGAAGCTCTCAGAAGGCCCATCTTTGTTTCTCTAGAAAATAATTAAAATTTTTATTACTGCCTCGAGTTTTTCTCATATTATTTCTCTTCCTGATTTTCCTTTTTTTTTCTACACCAAAGCTGATGTAGATTTATCAAATGAAGCACAATTTATCAAATATGTTTATATTGCTCATTTGATTATTTGGTTTCTCCCTTCAAATTTTTGATGCCTTCCTCTCTCGTGAAGCTATGAAAATTACATTTTGTATGCTTCCTTAAACAATATCTCGAGTTCACATATCTTAACATCGGTTTATTGGCATGTGGTAACTTGTATTTTTGTAAAAGTGTGAATTGTCAACATGGATAAGTTGAGATGGAAACTTTGACCTTGTTTGATCAGTTTTGGGGTGGGTAAAATGGTTAGAAAATAAAATCTTGAATGTGGTGGGACTGGAATTTACATTTAAAATGCACATTTAGGATTATCAAGATAGAAAAGGTTGTTGCTCTAATCAACAGTCTTAAAGATGTTTATATATCTCCATCCACATCCTCACTAGAATTTAGGGATTTAGGGCCATCGATGTTGTGCACTATCTAAATGAGATCAATGACATTTTTTTTTGCTTTGGATTTCTAGTGATCTCAACTCTGAAGCTGATAGTTCCTAGTAGGGGTGTAGGAAAGGTCTTTCTATACAATTACCTAAGTTATACACTTGAAACCTAAACAAACTAAATCCACTGCTCTTACCCAAGTTCTAGGCCCCTTGAAACCTAAACTAACTAGCCCACTCTCACCCAAGTATGCTGTTAAAATTTCACATGTTAGTGTTATTGAGGAAATGCAATAACATGATTACTCTTTCACAAATAAGTCTTTGCATAGAGTTAGATCAGTATAATTAAACATGATTACACTTGGGGTTTGGATCTCACATTGCTTGGATTATTTGAATGGTATGTGTATAATGTATATAGAATTTTTATATTAATTAATTAATATATTAATTTTTGATCCACAACAAAGGTCCTGAGGACGCATTATACATATATATGAGTAGATTTCAGATGCAATGATGGAGATATTTTATTTTATTTTTGTAATTATCAATTAAAAAGATTTGATGTTGACTATTGAACCATATTAAATATGGATATTTTGTATTCAATAAAAGATGGGGCGAGATTTATTTGAGAATTGTTTTATCATTTCAAATATATTATTGGTACAATCTTTCTTTGTATAGGTCAGAGCAAGTATTTTTACAGTTTCACAAGCTTGTTTCCAAAATAACTATGCTATAAAAAGCAATATGGCAACATTATTGATACAATGTTAGCAACGGTTTATATCGTCGATTAATCAAGTAACTTCATATTATTTTTAGCCACGGTGTAAACCGTTCGCTATATAAACCTATAGCAACGGCCAGATGTTGATCTGTTGCAAAAACTTTCGCAATTAGCAACGGCCACAACCGTGGTTATATCCATATTTTTAGCCACGGTGTACAAAATCCGTTGCTAAATGTTTTAGCCACAGCAATATCCCCTACAGACAAAACCGTAGTTAAACCGTTGCTAAAGGTTTTAGCAACGGTCTTTTGGGATTTGTAGCAACGGTTTTTTGGGATTTGTAGCAACGGTTTTGTCCATTGCTAAATCCGGATTTTCTTGTAATAATTGTAATTATTAATTTGGCTATAATCATTTAATATTCATATTAATTCATAAATATATAAGTAAAGTTAATTATTAATATTATTATTATCAGTAATAATAATGAATAATAGTGTTGTTATCCATTAAAATTAATTACTGTTAATTAATAATTACATTAATTTAATTGTCTTTATAGTAATTTAGTAAATTACAGATAATTATCATAATATTAACTGTATTTATCAAAATACTGTTAATTAATTACTGTAATTACTGTTAATTTGAATTAATCAATAGTAATTTCATTAACCAAAATTTCAATATTTATAAACATTTAAAATAAGTAATTATTATTGCATATTTACATTTTATACTTATTTTCAGTAATAATAATATTAATTATAATACTGAATAATTAAATAATATAATATTATAATACTGAATATTTGTTACAATAAGTCTGAATTTATTATATTACTGTAATGAAAATAAAATATTATTATTTAATTTAAAATATTATGTTAGTAATTATTTTCAGTACTTAGTAAAAATAATTACCTACAATAAGTCTGACTTTTCAAAATTTCACATTTTTTTATAAATTAATGTAATTACTGTAAAAGTTAATTATTATGTTAGTAATTATTGTATATTTTTCAGGGAAAAAGTTAAAAACTGAAAAATGATAACTAATTATTTTGAAACTTGAAATTTCAAAATAATTATTGAAAAGTACTGAAATTTGTTAATGGTTATTGAAATTACTTATTTTAATTATTTCCATGAGTAATTATTATTTTCAAGTTTTAACATTTTCAGAAATTAATGTAATTAATTAATTACCAATTAATAAAACCAGAATAGGTTGATTTTAAATATTGTTTTGAAATATGAAATTATTGAAAATAAAAAATATTAGTATCAAAATACAAAAAATTAAAATAATTATTATGGGAATTAGTTAGAATAGTTCTAATAATTGGTGAAATTAGTAGTTTTAAGTTTTGAAAATTCTGATGATAATTGGTTTTAAATATTTTTTTGAAATCTAAAATTATTAAAAATAAAAATAATAATATCAAAATATAAAAAATCAAAATAATTACTGAATATTTATTACAATTTCAAGTTTATTTTGGAATATTTATTATATTTTAAAATAATTAATAATTACTGAAAATATTATTACATTTCAATAATAGTTCTGAAAATATGTCTAAACTTTCAGTAATAAGTCTTATAAGTCTGTAATATTATAAATATTGTTGAAAGTTTACCCTTCAACAAATGATATAAGGGTTTACTTTTCAATTAAATCCCTTTGTCATCATATTCGATATTGGGATCCCCCCCTCCCACTAAAAATATAAAAAACAAAAATATAATTGAAAAATGAAAAATACCATCTTCCTCTAACTCGCCATACATGGGTGATTTGGTCATAAAAATTGTTATTCACGCTCAAATGAAATAATTGTTGCATGATGCATTGTTAATTTTTTTAATTAAATGAAATTTTCTGCTAAATAAAAATAATTATTGTTATTTGTTGTATGATGCATTGTTACATAATACTGTTTTTTAATAAATATTTACTGATAAATAATAGTATTTTTTAATGAATATTGTTACTTATTTAAAAATATTGTAATTATTTATAATAATGTTAATTAATAAATATATTACTGTTAATAAATGCTGTTTATTAAATATTACTGTTAATATTGTTAATTAATAACTACGTTATTTTTCTTGTATTTATAGTAATGTATTAAAATACTATAATTATAAAATAAATATTGTACTTATCAAAATACTGTTAATTACACTTTAAAATACTGTAATTATAATTACTGCTACTTACCATTTAAAATTATTTACTTACAAATAAAAAAATATAATTGAAATTGCACACAAAATAAAAAATTATTTTCAAATTATAGAAACTATATAATTTGAAAAAGAAAATCAGAAAACAAAAATGGTAGAATAAAGAGCAAAATTATAGAAAAACACAGAAATATTGCAAATAAATAAAAAAATACAGCAAATGTTATAGATGGTAGAAAATAGAAAAATGTAATAATAATATAAATATGTAAGAAAAACAGAAATTATAAAAACATCTAATATATATATATATTAAAAAATTCAATTATTCATTATTTTTTACTAAATTAATTATAAAAGTTATTACTTCATTATATATGTATATATATTATAATTATATATTATTGTTAATTAATTACTGTTAAATGTAATTAAATGAATTTTTTGTAATTAAATTTAATTTTATGCTATTTATAGCTTAAATTATAGATGTAGCACGATCTGACTACTCCCTGCTAGAGGATGATCTGGCTTCCAGTCGGGCAGCGAGCTAGGTGAATCTACAAGAAAGGATCAAAGAAACCAGGGTGGCTAACCCGGCGAGGTCACTCCGATTCTTAAGTCGGTAAACTGATGCGAGTTGAAAAGCTTAGAGATCTTAGAGAGATAGAGAGCTAGAGAGTAGAAAAATCATGCGTACCTTGTTTCATTGGGGTTGGTGCCTTTATATAGTTGAGCCCTCGTAGGTTTTGCGGACCGGTTCTGGGATGTTCGTCCTAATGGGATCCTTTTCCGCTTTAATTGGGGGGGGGGTAACGTTATCAATTAATAAAGATTATCAATTCCGCCCGACCTGGGCGGGGAGAAGATAAGCTTGCCGTTACGCAGCGTGATCCCTTGAGGTTCGGAGTTTGTTGGAGAGACTTCCGGGATCGTTACGTGATGGTCCAAAGCGGTAGCCCCGAGTTGATACTTAAGTCTTTTAGTTCTGAACTATATTGAGTGCCGAGGTGATTATGCACCGAGGTGACCTTGCACCGAGGTGACCCTGTGCCGAGGTGACCCTTGTGCCGATGTGGCCTTTGTGCTGAGGTGATTGAATACCCGAGCTCAATTGTTGCAAACTAATCTGGTTAGGCTGAGTTGTCATCTCTTAGTCAGTTCGTGTTCACATGTCCCCTTTTTGCTAGGTCGGGCCAAATCACCTTTCATCAATTGCCCCCCACTCCCCGATCTAGGGGTCTCAACTCGGTGCGAGGAGTTTATGATGAGTCCAGGTGGATTTGGCACGAGGTCTAGGCGGTTTGACGGGCGAATCACTGGTCGAACCAATTTGACCGCTTGGCTCAACTAGGAATAACCCAGGTCGCTTCAGGTGTATGCGCGGATGTCACGCCGTTTTATAAATTCCATGGACGTCAAAACACGCGCTAAATCGATTTCAACCTCGGGGGTCATGCAACCGGTTTTCCTAGGAGCTGTTGGATCGTGATGATCTCAACCGTTGATTTCCATACACACCGGCTATAAATAGGGGGCAAGGGACTCATTTTCTTCAGTTTAGTGTCTCTTCAGTTCGGTGTCTTTCCGAGGTTGTCTTCCTTTCTCTGGTCTTTCTTTTGGTGAGTCTTCCCTAGCTCTCTTTTTCGATTCCACGTCTTTCCATTATGTCTAGCTTTAGTTTCAATAGCCTTTTAGATGGGAGTGGTGAATCCGCTGGAGCCGAGGTGGGTGGGTACCTCGGCTCAGGCTGTAGAACTTCATCCTGCTGAGGAGGTTACTTCGAGTCAAGTTGCGGTCCGCGGTCCTCCCGAGGTGGACTCACCCCGGGGGAAGCGAGAGGCCTCTGTTGATCTGGCTTCCACCTCGCATCAAGATCGGCTGTGACGGTGGATAGGCTCCTATCCCTAGTAGCTCGGTACAGACTTCCAAACAACTTCGTCTACAGTATCCCCTTAGGTAATTCCCCTTGGGAGTGTGGTCACGACGAGATCGTGATCTATGAGGAACAACTCGTAGCTGGTCTTCGTCTTCCACTTCACCCTTTGATAGTCGAAGTCATAAAGTTGTTCAACATCACCATAGACCAGTTGCACCCGAACTCCATCCGCAACATCGTAGGCACCATTTCTCTTTTCCACGACTACAACCTTCCTCTCGACCTCGACATCTTTTCCTCTATTCTTTCCATTAAAAAGAACTCGCCCTGTGTTCTGCCCGAGCACATGCGAACTTATTACCTATCACCTCGTCCTGGCTTCAAACTCTTGAACGAGTTCCCGAACAAGGTCTCGGCCTGGAAGAGGCGCTATTTTGTGGTCCGCAACACTGAGGGGTAGCCTTTCCTGACCCATTGGAGGACAGCCATCCAAGACCCTGGTGTCCAGGTGGACTTGAAGACAAGGGAGGTGCTTCGATCTTGGGCGGAGATCGGCTCAAAGTTCGTAGACATCGTGACCGAGGAGAAGCTTGTGCAGGCCGGTCTAAGTCCTAGTAGGTCGTTGTTTATTGTATTTCCTTTGTTTTATTTCGGTATTGTTTCTGTCATTTTGTTTTATTTCGGTATTGTTTCTGTCATTTTGATTTAGAGGAAAATTGATTACTGTAAAGAAGGCTTTTTGATCGTGCTCCCATAGACGGCGCCAATTGATGTAGCACGATCTGACTACTCCTTGTTGGAGGATGATTTGGCTTCCAATCGGGCAGCGAGCTAGGTGAATCTGCAAGAAAGGATCAAAGAACCCGGGGTGGCTAACCCGGCGAGGTCACTCCAATGCTTAAGTCAGTAAACTGATGCGAGCTGAAAAGCTTATAGAGCTTAGAGAGATAGAGAGATAGAGAGCTAGAGAGCTAGAGAGCTAGAGAGTAGAAAAATCACGCGTACCTTGTGTCATTGGAGTTGATGCCTTTATATAGTTGAGGCCTCGCAGGTTTTGCGGACCAATTCCGGGATCTTCGTCTTGATGGGATCCTTTTCTGCTTTAATTGGGGGGTAACGTTATCAATTAATAAAGATTATCAATTCCACCCGACCCGGGCGGGGAGAAGATAAGCTTGTCGTTACGCGGCGTGATTCCGTGAGGTTCGAAGTTTGTTGGAGAGACTTCTGGGATTGTTACGTGATGGTCCGGGTCGGTAGCCCTGAGCTGATACTTCAATCTTTTAGTTCCGAACTGGATTGAGTGCCGAGGTGCCTCGA